CCAAGTTATTGGCAATTATTGTTCATTAACAATATTTTTCATTAATGCAGACTGATTCAGATTATATCTAGACTATCTTCTGTACCATCAGAAATGCAGATTACAATGCAGTTTACATTAAGTTTGTTGCAGTCACAGCTTGAGTCAGTCAAGTGTATGTTTTAAACTACATGAATAATTGTTTCCTGAATTTTCTTCCTTTTATTTGATTTCACATTTGTATTCTCACTTGATAAACAAAAGTATGTTCTAGCAGAGGGATCCACTTGATGAAGGCAGTGATGTTCAACGCTTACAGAGTAATGACAGCACAACAGTAGAAGAAGAAGAATCAGCCAAATCTCTAGAACCATCCACTTACAAAAAGCAAGGTAATATGTTAATGAAACTTCACTTTTACATTAACAGATATACTGTTGTCACACTGTTTCAACAGCTCCAAAACAATGTGATAAGTACTTTGTTTAGTTGTTTTAGTAGTCATGTGTCATGAGACACTTGTTTGTGAGTGTCTCATGACAATGACATAAGGACATGCGATGTCCGTGGCAGCAACAGACGTGTGTAGACTAGTAAAGTTTTGCTAACAATATGTCTTTTGTTTAATCTTGTAATCCGTTTGCTGTTAAATATCCTGTAGGAGATGACCCAAAACAGAGCACTGCTAAAAAAGAGCAAAAGGTAAGATCTTTGCCATAACATTTTTTCGTAACTATTTTGTAAAACTTTCAACTTCAATACAATTATTATTTAAATGGAACTGTCCTTGTTGCTAGCTTAAACTTATTCACAGGTTGAATATATGGCCTCTTGGTTTATGTTACATCCCTATTTACCTTTATGTTAGTCCCTTCAAACCCCCTAGACTAGCCAGGGGACGTAACAGTTTAACACCTACATGACATAAAATATTTAAAATAAATTCGCTGGGTTATTTTAAATTTAATTGCTTCATGTGTTCAAAAAATTAAGTCACTGCTGACTTTTGGATTGAGGAAGTATTCAAACTCCATTTTCTACTTAAATGCCAACACCGTGAAAAGCTTGCATTATATGGCATTTTTAAAAAATAATTTTTGCTGCTTTAAAATGCTTGTGGCATGAATGACAGACCCAACCACATATTCACACTTTACACACTTTATTTTGGTTATCATTTCTTACAAACTCGTTTGCAGCTTTTCAGTCACAACCACACACAACAACAACAACAACAATGACCTCAAGTCTTGAAACGTTTAATACAGGGGAGGCGTAATGAGATGATCAAGCTCAGGTGTGTCAGCCTCCCTCGCAGACACGCCATGAACCATGCCCCACCACATTTCCCATCCATACCCCCTACCCCTGTGAGCAGGAGAGGTAATTGGCTATAACCATTGACATCCCAGCCCATGGACCAGCGGTAGGGATGAGTAGGATCAGGGGGCCGACCGCGTATCCACCGGCGGCAGTGACAAAGCGGGTCCAGGGGCAGACTGCATATCCAGCAGTGGTGGTAGCACTGGACCGGAGGCCACCTGTGTGGCAAGCAGTGGCGGCGCAGAAGACATGGACATCAGCCATGGCTCACATACAGCTTGCCAGGCGTTGTTCCCTCCAGCGCCCCAATCTCTAGCTAGGGCTAGGTCCCTCCCGTTCCTTGACTTCCAGGTTGGGCTAAGCAGGTCCTTTCCGCATGCTGACCTCCAGCTCAGGTTGAGCAGGTGATTGAGCAGATGATGGAAGTAGAGGTTGCTCATCTGCCCTCCTCTGGGGAACAGGAACAGGTGCAGGCACCTGCCGGGCACTAGCCGCTTCCACCTGAGGAGTGGGTATTGGTACGGAGGTAGGCTGGGTATTGGCTGGCCTCACCCAGGAGACCGGAGCAGACCGGACACCTGCTAACTGTTGGCGAGATACCACTGCCATCGCCTCCCTCTGCCTGGCCCAGTTGTTGTTCTGCCATGCCGCCTCCTGGATTTCGGCACCAATGTGGCATGAATGACGAACTCGACCACATATTCACAATGCTCAATCTGTTTTTAACCAACACTTTATGGACAAGCTTCTATGGGGTCTGTAAAAAATGAGACCAATGGACGTGAAGGTGTCTCGTTCCTTCTCATAAAACTTGAACTGCAATACATTAAAAATTATTATTTTTTGCAATGACATCAAAAACTTTTTGTCATGTAGATAAATGACACTGGAAACTGTTCTTGAAAAGGACAATATAGTGGATCATTGGTTAGCACAGCAAAGATGATCTTATGTTTTCACACAAGCATGTTTGAACAATAAATCATTCTAAATTTGTCAAATGTGCTGCTGCAAGATAAAAGTAATAGAATAATAGGTTTGTTGGTGAAAAAGGGAAATGTGTCTTATAATGCGAAGCAATTGGATTGGCAGGTAAGACTAGAAATATGCTATTCTTGTGATTTTGTTCCAATGGCTGTTCTCTCACTAAATTTCAAAACGCTTCCTCGTCATCTTCTTTTCATAAAATACAACTTGACAAACCAAATGACAAGTTAAAGTATTTGGTCTGTTTTGTTTTTTCCCCAGAGTGATCTAGTGAATAAACGCACTGATGTTGTACTTTCAAAGAATGATGACGCCCCAATAGCTGGAGGAAACATCAAACTCAACTCTAATGAGAGGGGTAACATTTAAAAAAATAAAATAAAAAATATAACAAAACTAAGCTAGAATTGGAATGGTTAAATATATAAAAAGTAACGCATTTATAATAAATATTAGTGAACTGTGTTGGCTCCATCATAAATTTATTTGTCATTCTTGCTCATCTTGCAGGAACCTCAGAACTTACCATGAGCAGAAACAAGGAGAATGTAAGACAGTCAACATTTTGTTTCAAAAAATCTAAAGGATTGCTTTATCACACATTATAATCAGTGTAATATAATATTATAATGTCCTTACATACAATGAATGATTTTTTATTTATCACAGTCAGGGAAGATTTCTGAAGAAATCTACAGAAAGAAGCTATGTCAAAAAGAAACTCAGGCACTGCTTGAGAGACTTCATCTTAAAGAAAAACTTCAAGACAAGTTGTCACCAACAGAACTTCTTCAAATACAACCAACTGTAAAACAGCACCATGTGACATCTGAAAAAGATGTAGCTCACACTTTTCTTCATAGGCTGATGATGTTGGACTACAGGGCCAGATATATTCCTTTAAGACCAGACAGTGCTGATGTGACAGCTGCAAAACCTCTTCAAATAACTGACAATACTGACAACGATTTTAAGAATTTGATGGCTTTACTGAGCACCAGTGATAAGAGGGAACAGACAGAACAAACTCACATGCATCCACTGGACATTCAGATGGCAGTATTTCACTGCTCAGACAGTTTCCTTAAACAGATGGTGATTACAAAGCTTTCTCAATGTCAGTATGCCTTACCTTTGCTTCTTCCTGACCCAGTCACAAAGGAAATTGAGTTTCCTCTGTGGACCTACAGAGAAATAACAAAAACCTGGAAGGTAACTCAAATCAAAGATGACTCAACGATCGTCACCATGAAGAGTGTTCCAGTTTACAAAGCTGAAACACCCTTGGTGTCATTTTTCCGTCTGGGTTCTTTGTCAGTGTCTAAATCTCAGCTGATGAACACTTTGATCAACAACCGTCACGACACCTTCTTCCACAGAAACTGCCCAGGAAGCACCAAGTCTCGCTATTTGATGGATGGTGTGGCAGAGATTGCCTGGTACTGCCCTGCTGGAAAACCCAATGATACCTTCAGTGATTGCATTGCCTTTTGTAATCTCCATGGTGATGCTCTGTTGACTGAAAAACAGCGTGACATACTGATTGAAAAATCATTTATCAATGTTTTTCTTGTGACATCTCTGCAAAAAAATACACAAAGTCAGCCACTTATGTCATCTCTCTTTGCATCTCAGAAGCCTCTCATTTGTCTCACTGTTGAGGACAGCTGTGATATTAAAACAAAAAATGGAAAATACATATTAGGCCTCAAAGACAGAAACCAGCCAGATGTATCTGAACACCTGAAAAGGATCATTAGAGAGGTTTTGTTTTCTCTTCATGGTCCCATCTTGAAACCATCCTTCCAGCTTGAAACCATGGCTGAGCTCTCTGGAATCAGAGTGGATGAAACTGACCCAGCCTGTCAAAGAGGGAAATCTGCTGCTATGGAAATAATCAATCTGCTAAAAAAGAAAAACATGGATGTCTCAAAGATCAAAGATGAATTTCTCCCTTGTCAAGGCCAACTGTGGCATCAGTGGAGCAAAATACACAAAGAACTGTTTCATCTCAGAGGAAACATTGAAATGGAGAAAAGTGAAAAGCAACAAGAACTGATGAAGATACGTCAGGAACAATGTGCTGCTTCCTGCAGTAACCTGATGGAGTTGTTCACTGGAAGTCTCTCATCATTGCCACCAACAGACAGAGAGTATTTCCTAAAATGGACTCAGATCTTCACAGATGCCCTCTCCACAGATGATCTTTCTTCAATTCTCAAAAGTTATGATGAAAAGTGGTCTGAGGTCTTGGCTTTGAAGAACAAACCGAACAAATCAGATCTGTTATTAAAAACACAATCTGACCTTGAAGACATATCAAAAAAACTTCAGTCTGCAACCTTTGGTTTGGAGCACATCTTCAGAGAAATGGGACAGATCTATGAAGCCCATAAAACAACACAAAGACAGAGCAGACACACTGACTGGTCTAAATACCCTGAGCTGGCTGCACAGCTGATGATATCAGGACACCCGATGGAGCTGATGGATGGTGATGCAGGTCATGTGCCTTTAACATGGATCTCCAGTCTTTTAGAAGAAGTCATCGAGAAACTGGGGAACCAGAGAGTTTTTGTGTTGTCAGTTTTGGGCCTACAAAGCAGTGGAAAATCAACAATGCTGAACACCATGTTTGGGCTGCAGTTTGCAGTGAGTGCTGGCAGGTGCACCAAAGGTGCCTTCATGCAGCTGCTCAAAGTATCAGAGGAGATGAAGAAAGACTTGAAGTTTGACTATGTTCTAGTGGTGGACACTGAAGGACTGCGTGCTCTTGAGTTAGAAGGTAACAACACTCTTCATCATGACAATGAACTGGCAACATTTGTTGTTGGTCTGGGAAACCTGACACTGATCAACATCTTTGGAGAGAATCCGTCTGATATGCAGGACATTCTGCAGATTGTTGTTCAGGCTTTCATGAGGATGAAGGAAGTTAAACTTTCTCCCAGTTGTGTGTTTGTTCACCAGAATGTCACAGATGTTGCAGCAGCAGAGAAAAACATGGATGGAAAGAGACGCCTGCAGGAAAAACTGGACCAGATGGCCAAACTAGCAGCCAAAGAGGAAGTTTGTAATGCAGAGTGCTTCGGTGATGTCATTGAATTTGATGTTCAGAAAGATGTGAAATACTGTGCCCAGCTGTGGGAGGGCAGTCCACCCATGGCTCCTCCAAATCCAGGTTACAGTGAGAGCATCCAGGAAGTGAAGAACACCATCCTCTCTAAAGCTTCAAAGTCTGCTGGGATCACTCTCTCACAGTTCAAAACAAACATCCAGGACCTGTGGTCGGCACTTCTGACTGAAAGTTTTGTTTTCAATTTTAAAAACACACTTGAAATTGCAGTGTACAGAAAACTGGAAGTCCAGTATGGGAAGTGGACCTGGACTTTGAGGAGCATCATGTTGACCATTGAAAACCAACTTCATAACAGAATTGAAAATGGAAAACTTGATGAGGTTGAGTTGAGTTTTCTTATTGGAGGATCAAGAAAAACTTATGGAGAGATCACAGAAGCAATGACAAAATACTTTGAGGATGACAAGGAGAAAGAAATCTTGGCTCAGTGGAGAGGACGATTTGAAATCAAAATGAAAGAATTTCATGATGACCAAGTGAACAGAGTGAAAAGAAAACTTGATGGAGTCATCCAACAGAGGAAAGGTCGTAAAATGATGGATGATAAGAAATCAGAGTTTGAGAACCAACTGCTACAAAAAAGCAAAGAGCTCGCTCAGATACTGAAGTATAAGGCCAAAGATGAAAAGGAGCTTCAAAGCCAGTTTAGCTCTGTTTGGAGCGGCTGGGTTACTGAATTAACAGGAGATATAAAACCTGTTGAAGACATTGACTTGGAACAAGATCAGTTAATAATTCTTCGAGAACTTGGTTTTGAAATGGCTCTCATAGATGAATGTAAAAGAGGTGGCAGATATAGAAAAATATCAACGCTTGGTGACTATTCAGATTATATGAAGACAGAAAATAATCAGCTCGTTGATGCTTACAATAAATGCAGATCAAGTGGTGCTTTCTCCTGTGAAGAAAAACAACAGATCAGTTTGCTTATTGACAAAGCTGAGAAAGAGTCAATTGACAAAATCAACAACAATCAGGTTGTTACAACAGGCTACTCAACATTTTATTTGCGTGAAGGGGCCAATCATGTATCAGAAGAAGTGCAGAAATTTCTGTCAGAGAGGAAATACACTTTCAAGAAGAAGTTTATAGTTGATCTCTTGCTCTACGTGTTCTACAGGGCAGAGAGTGCACTTAAAGATTCCCACGAGAAATTTAAAGAGAACAATAATGCAGAAGAATATTTACAAAGCAAGAAAACAGAGTATTACACAGTTTTTAGAAGCTTTTGTAAAGGAAACTCATCTGCTGTTGTGCTTGGAGAACTGATCTGTAAAAAGCTGAAAACTTCCACTGTTGAGGCTGTCTGTAACAAGACTGCCAAAGATATCGCTGGAAAGATGATGTGTAATTTCCCAGCATTCAATGGGAACAGATCGAACTTGGAGAAACATATTTTGAAGTCACTCGCTGACAAAGAAGACTTTGATGATTTCATCACCTACATCAGATACCCAAAGAGACAAACAGAAGCTTTCATTAAAGCAGAAGTACAAAAATACATCAGTGGTCACAATGATGAAGCTGTGACTATAATCAAGAAAAATGTTGATGACATCAAATCAGTTGTGACTCAGGCTTTATTTAATGTCACACAACATGTGAAAAGCCAGGGAGGAAACACAGACGTGTGGCTGACGGAATTTTGTAATGAGCTAAAGGATGAGCTGAAATTTGTTATTTCTTCTGAAAATTTCAGTGACATAAATGATTTTGAATTTCTGAAGGAAGAGATAAAAAAAGGATTTGCATCCATCACTGAGGAGATGAGCAGCCTCTCTTGGGATGACCTGACGGAATTCAGACAGAAGCCTGATGAAATCCTCATTGATCAGCTTTGTAACTGCTGCTGGGTAAAGTGTCCATTCTGTGCAGCTGTTTGTTCCAACACTGTGGAAAATCACAGTCCCGATGACCACAGTGCTCGTTTCCATCAACCTGGTGCAGTTCGTGGGGTGTGCTGGAATAAGACAGATGAAATGTTCATTAATTTTTGCACAACAAGTGTTGGAAGTGATCTTCATTTTTACCCTGATAGTTCAGATAGAACCGTTCCCTATAAAAACTATAGAGATGGTGGCCAAGATTGTAAAACCTGGGAAATCACCCCTGATGAGTCAAAACTGTCATACTGGAAATGGTTTATTTGTCAATTTCAAGAGGAACTGGAAAGTCATTATAAAGGAAAATTCAGGGGCAAAGGAAAGATTCCAGATGACTGGAAAACCATTCAAAAAGACGACGCCATTAAAAGTCTGGATGAAAACAAACTGAAGCCTGAGGTGCTGTGTTTGCCTGATAAATGAGGAAAAATAGTTGAGCATTAGTTGAAGTTTTATTTAACTAGTTAATACATATAGACAAATGAGCAAATCTAAAAACTATAGAGATGGTGGTCCAGATTGTGCAACCTGGAAAATCACACCTGATGAGTCTAAATTGGTATACTGGAAATGGATTGTGTGTCAATTTCAAGAGCATCTGGAAAGGCACTATAATGGAAAATTCCATTTCCGTGGGGTAATTCCACGTGAGTGGAAAAACATCACTAAAGGAGATGCAATCAAAAGTCTGAATGAAATTATTTAAACAGACAGCAGACCCTGATATTTTGTTTTGCATGATAAATGACGAAAGGCAGATACATTAAAAAAATTACTTACTAAATTGTTATTTTAGAATAAAATAAATAAATAAATACCGTGATTAAATAAACAAATAAATTCACAATCAAATGTTTTTTCTTTGAGATGCGAATGATTGAGGTTGTTACAGATAAAATTCTAAACAAAAAGATAGTTTTTCTATCCTTCAAAAAAACAAGAAAAAGGTGTTGTGGGTGTGTCAAAGAGCATATTCTCATGCATTTAATTTTTTCTCATGCATTGATTCAAGTTAATGTTTGATATAAAGTTTCTTCTGTCTTATCGTGTTAACGGTATGACAATATTCAGTTTATTACCTTTAATTAATCTTGTTGTGTAATTACATTTTTGTAGATGAATATAACATTTATCAACCTCTCATATCACACGAAAATGAAATCACAATTTAGAGCTCACTGGTTTTGTTAACCTGAAAAGGTTGTCTGAATTTCTGCAGCATGTATACATTAAGGAATGTAATGGCATATAATTATATTTTGATAAGCAGTTTTTTTTTGCAGTGCTCATATCCTGAATCAATGTTAATTGTGTTGTTTTCATGAGAAACTTTTTTTTCCAGTGGCAAGATTAATAAATGATCTGAAATGAATATTGGTGTTTGTAGCCCTCATTTACTCAATACCATTAAATAAATGGGCATTGGGTTCTTTTTCTAGTGTACTCTCGTACGATATTTTTAAATTAACTTCTCTTTTGTTTCTGGGATCAATGAAGCTTATTCCTTAACAGTGGCACTACACGCGAAAATGAACACTAGTGTCTACAGTGCAGTAAATCATATCATACACCATGTAAAGTAGAGCATTGCAACCCTCCTTTAATTTACCAAACAATGAAAACAAAATAATAAAATGGCAGATTTCAGTATTCAGGCAAACCAAAAACACACACAGCAATTTACCCACTGTACACAGAATCTCCACATATACAGTGTAAACCACCAGTGATAAAACAATTATAGTCCCAAACTAAACCTAAAGCCGGCAGAGATAAACCCTACGTTGCAGGCCTGTATTGCTCCAGTAAAAATCCAAAACGATCTCCCAACCGGAAGTTCTTCACTCAACCAGCAAAATATAAATAAATAAACTCAGTACCTTGTGAAACGTGCACTTCCCACCAGATTAATCCAGGCAACAAGTTGTCTTCAGCTCCTTCAGAAACACTCCGCTCTGAATGCAGTAGCACAAAGATGGGGAAGGTCCGTGATCTCCACGTGCTCCACAAGCTACCTGTTTTAGCTTCCCACGTTGCCAGAGGTACTCTGAGTGACGCGGGCACTCAGAGTGACTATCTGGGGTGTGTCCGTCGTTATCCAGTTCGGTAACGATCCTCTGTAGCTTTTTAAGTTCCACAATTTTAGCGAAACGGCAGTCTACAGTAGTCCTTATTAGCGAAGGCTGGGTTAGCCTCACTTTAACTTAATGCGTGCAAGGCCACAGTAAACAAAACACACAGTCCAGCAGCTTCACGCCGAAACTTTACATGTCATGTCACTAACCTACCGACACTGTGACTTATCTGTCCGAAAAGTCAAAACACACTTACTACTAGTACATAAAAACAAGCTAACTTCTCCAGATGCTCCGTGTAACTCATGCACCACCGCCCTTCCTCTTGCGCTCTCTTTTTTTTTTCTTTTTTTCTTCTCCACCCTGTGTTACCTTCACAGACCATATCCCCGTAGGAAATTACACTTCTCACAAGCAATTCACAATAAAAGAAAGATAACTTATTTTAAACAATGCAAACATGTTTTTAATCATTTTACATGAACTTTTACCTTTTTTAATATACAAGAAAATTTAAATAAATGACCTCTTTGATATTTATATTCTCAGACTTCATTTATCTTTTACTATTTATGCATCTTTTTAACCCGGGTTACATGTTAATTTGGAAAATGGGTACAATAAAAATTATAAAAACAAAAAAGGTTTATTTACTAGAGAACTGTTTTTGTTTTGACCTACAGAGTAAATTATGGAACATACACATGCACACATGAGTCTACCCATATGGAAAAGAAATAGTAAAAACTTGTGGCCACTTTCATGAGTAAATCATATAAGGCTTACATGATTTATTCATGAAAGTGGCCACTTTCTCATTACTTTCATATATTGTTTTAGTAAGTATCCAAAACATACAAGTTTCATTATATAATTTTTCAAGGGATCTTATATCTGTTTTTACTCTTGTATGCTTTTCATACAAGTTTCACACAAGACAGATACAAACTTTATAAGATTTATATATATCTTTTCCATATGGGTATCCTAATTCTGTGTCATTGATTGTTGCTGTGCGACAGGGAAGATGAGGACCCAAATGTAGGACTCAAATGAAAGATTAAACTCAGAATAGCAGCTTTATTGCTAAGGAAAAACTGTGACATATACAAAACCTAGAAACTAGAAAGACAAAACTTAACCTGGGAAACTAAAAAACTCAAACACTAGAGAACTCAGAACTAGGAACCAGGAAACCCGAAACATGAGGAAACTTTCACAGCACATAGAGAGGAGTATTTCGCAACAACAAGCAGCAGAAGATTGAGGACTAAACTGCAAGAGGGGCACAGGAACCAAAATCTAAGAACTAGAAATCACAAACCAAGAAGAACTGGAGAGACAGAAATACAAAACAGAAACCAAAACACTCATCATAAACTATGATGAAATCAAAGATCAATAATAATAATACAAAAATCATAACACTGGGTCACTGACCAAGGACTGGGACATTCTGTCTCACTTTGCTACAGGTGGACTGCAGCAAAGCTTTAGACCAGGGGTCGGCAACCTTTCTGATGATGAGTGCCATTTAAAATTTCCTCAGACGTCAATGTGCCATAGGATTGCATTAGCAATAAATTTAAAAATGCTCCATGTCAGCAGTTACACACTATATAGAACAACTTTATAGAATTATATTTGTTCTCTGTCACAGATTAGTAGGCAGAGGACTCACTCGCAGGACTCTGAAGTTTAGAGAGAAGGTGAGGGTTTATTTGCAATGTGACACCAAGTGAGAATATATACATATATACAGTGGAACAGATAACACGGGGCTCCAGGGAGTAGGGCGGGGTCCGAAGGGAAGGTCCAAGACGGGGGTACACACACGCTCTTCTTCAACTTGATCCGTAACTCACTCCAAATGTCCACACCAAGAAGCTCACGCTCACTCACACACATCCACAGAAATCCAGACGGCAGGGAAGATGGGCAGGGAGTCTAGAAGGCCTGTACACAGAGAAAAAACAATGTCAGGAGGAAACTCTAGGAGATCAAAGGGAACACTTTCATGGGCTAGGCTACACTGACGCTAGGTAGTGTGACGATCCAGCGAGGAAGCAGCCTCTCT